CTTAGTTGGTTTGGTGTGCCAAGGTCACGGACTTGATTGTTAACTCAGCCTAACCAAGTCTATTCTGACTGATATAAGCCCTGTCTGTGATATTTAAACATTGATAAGTAATTTTAATATACAACTATTGTGGCTTGTCTCAACTACAAAGGAATAACATTCATCAAGTGGTAGACTGATATTCAGGTATTTTAACAAGATTGGGGCTTGATGTGGTACATGAAGGCATGACTATCTCTAGCAAGTACCCTTGGCATCAATGCATTTACAATTAAATACATGCATGGACTATGAAGGCAAAAGAAATGCTTTGGCAAAGACAAATCCTAAACGTAAGCTATACAATGTGCTAATTTTATCAATTACAAATTTCAAACTAGGGTTGAGATCACATTTTGCTTCTGTAACTGGCATCATCAGGGAATATCTATAAATTTAGGCTAAAAGATACTCATCTGATGAATTAAGAAAGGCTAACCTATCTTTAATATGTCCTTGAGTACCACCCAGGTCTGTGGATTCTGGAGTGATTCATTTGACAGATCCAAGGTTTAGAGTAGCAAGATATATATAACTCAGTCTCTCAAAGACAGTGTGTCTGAATGCCTTATGGTCCAAGTGTCAAGTGCATCATTCTTGAAGTGACTGAATCAAAGAAAAGATTCTTATCTGGTTGATTTCTCTGGTTCAATTTAGAAAAATTGGGTATCAAAGCAGGTATCCTGAGCTATTAGGCCCTGCTGGGGCCAACACAAGCTTGGTCTCTGTAGCAGAGTTCACTGGTAGCCTCTGTTGAGCAATGAAGTCCTACGTTCTGACTCAATCTGTGCTTGAAAATCCGATGAACCCTCAGAGCTGTGCTGGGTAGCAGCCAAAGTGCACCTAAGGGTAGCGGGTATGTCTTAGCTGAATGCTGGGGAGAGAGAGAATCAAAGTACAACTGTGGTATGGCCAGCCAATTAAAGGCTAAAGGGCTGCACAGGCTACTATAAGAGGCACAGGTCCCATGTCTGCTCATGAGCTGTCAGATTCCTGAGCAATAGAGGAAACTGTCGGATCTACGCCTGACCACAGTGAGCAGGACCAAAGATCTACCTAAGACCCAGCTGGAGCATTTGGATAAGCCAGTCATCACAGGGCCAGGCCCACTGAGATGGCAACTTGCATTCCCAAGCTCATTGATTTGCAAACAGAGTTGCACTGAAGGGAGGGGAAGGTGGGATGGGGCGTAGGGGGGACATGCTGCCCTATTGTCACAGATTTCATAAGAACAAATCATAGCTGCTCAAAGTTGTCAAAGAAAATTGACAATGTTCTTGAGAATTTAAAGCGGGGCTGAGGATGACCCACCTAGAAGGGGAAACTTACAGAGAAAGCATTCAGCAATGTGTGTCCCAAAAGATGTCCACATCCTAATTCCAGAACCTGTGGGTCTTTTAACTTACATGGCAAAAAGGGCTTCGGAGGTGTGATTAAAGTAAGGATCTTGGGATAGGAGTTTATCATGGATGATCTGGGTGGACCCACTGTGATCACAAGGGCCCTTTTAAGAGGAAGCAGGCCAGAGTCCAAAAAGGAGATGTGACTCTGCTGACAGAAGCACAGGTCAGAGCCATGAGACTGCAGCTTTGACGACACAGGAGGGCCACGGCTGAGGAATGTGGGTGGCTTCTAGAAGCTGAAAAAGACAGGCACAGATCCTTCCCTGGAGCCTCCAGAAGGAACGCAGCCCTGGAAGACCAATTTTGGACTTCTGACCTCCAGAGCTGAGATAATCAGTTTGTGTTCTTTTGGACCACTAAATGTGTGATGATGTGTTACAGCAGCCACAGGAAGCGAATATACAATGCAAGACATTTCACCACGTGAACGACCCAGTTCGGCCTTATGCTACTTTCCCTTAGCAAGATACAGACAGGCCGAGTTCCCTAAAGGAAGTGTCATGGATGGGCTCCTTCAATGAAATGCCTTCTGTAAGTGAGAATATCTTATAATGATAATAGGATGGTTAGGCAGAATTTTGTTTTATGACATTTTAAGACATTCTGGATGGGTGCCAAGATTTGTATGAGCCTATGAGTCATTAGATTAAATTGGTATATAATTCCTCCCACTCTATTCATAAGAATTATTGTACTCCTTGTTATGAACAAGCCTTCTATTTAAGTCTTCCATTTTTATGGGCTTAACTCCACTCTTCCTCAATGGAAAAAATGGAATGACAGATTAATTCTGGACCTTAGATAAACTGCTTTATAACTGTTTAAATTAAGATCCAACAGGCCCTGATGTATCAGATTTCTAATCTGGTTTAAACATCGAAATCTATGATTATGTAAACATAAGAGACAGTAACAGCTTTCCCTGTGGAACTTCCAAGTGTTGGGGGTGGGTTATGGAAACTCTTGCTGTGATTTTGTAAGTTAAACATGGGAGGAATATAGAGAAAATGCAAATTAAAACCACAATTAGCTATCGTTTCACCTTTCAGAATGACTATCATCAATAAATCAATGAACAAGTGTAGGTGAGGATGTGGGAAAAGAGAATGCTTGTGCACTGTTGGTAGGACTGTAAATTGGTGTAGCCTCCATAGAAAGCAGTATGGAGATTACTCAAAAAATTAAAAATAGAACTACCATATGACTCAGCAATCCCACTTCCAGGGATTTATCTGAAGAAACCCAAAACACTAATTCAAAAAGATATAAGTACCCCAATGTTCACTGCAGCGCTACTTACAATAGTGAAGATGTGGAAGCAACCTAGGTGTCCCCTGATAAACAAATGGATAAAGAAAATGTGGTACATATATACAATGAGATATTATTCATATATACCATAGAATGAAATCTTGCCATCTGTGACAACATGGATGGACCTAGAGGGTATTATACTAAGTGAAATAAGTCAGACAGAGAAAGACAAATACCATATCATTTCATTTATATGTGGAATCTAAAAAACAAAATAAATGAATACACATAACAGAAATAAATTAGATACAGAGAACAAATTGGTGGTTGCCATGAGAAGGGGGTGAAGGATGGGTGAAAAAGGTGAAGGAATTAAAAATACAAACTGGCAGTTACAAAATAGTCAGGGCGATGTAAAGTGCAGCACAGGGAATATAGTCAGTGATATTGTAATGACCATGTGTGGTGGCAGATGGGAACTAGAGTTACCAGGGTGATCACTTTGTAAGTTATCAGTTAAACATCTAACCATTATGCTGTACACCTGAAAGTATTATAATATTGAGCATCAACTGTAAGTGAAAAAATATTTTAAATTACAAAAAATGATAGAAGGATATTCTAGCAAGCCACCTCTTCAAGAAAGAAACCAGGAAATCTGTCGCATGTGGAACCTGCCACAGGCCTTTGTCCATACAAGATGGCACTGTGGCTCTCACACACCCCGATGCATCAGCACCACCCAGAGGGCTTGTTCAACCAGATTTCTGGGTCCCAGCCTCGGAGCTTGTACTTCAGAAGGCTTGCGGTAGAGACAGACAGTCTGTATTTCTAACAAGCTCCCAGGTGAGGCTGTTTCTTCTAGGCAGAGCCAGAACTATGGTAGAGGGATCCCTCTCACACAAAGCACAATTTCTCACATGTCCTGAGAAAGGTCATAACCTTACCTCATTGAACTGTCCCTGCCAAGCTACTTAATACATTGCAGTTGCTGAACTATCTCCACCGCCTACCTGACTCAAAGGCAGAGGGGATCACCGGCTTGGCTGTATATTGGAATTACCTAGAGAGCTTTTTAACCCCTCAGGACTCAGGCCTCCCTCCAAACAAATTAAATGAGAATGGAGCTGGGGGAGGGGCAAGTGTCAGTAGTTTTTAAAACTCCCCAAGTGATCCAAAGTGCAGCCAAGACAGAGAACTGCTGCTCTAAACAAACATGAGAAACAACAAAATGATGCCAGCAGGCTAAAACAGAGATTCAGCAGGGCCCTATGCTAAGCCCAGTCCTGTCTTCTGAAGTGCTGGACTCTCGTATCCTGCACCATGGCATATAATAGGTGCTCAATAAACACTTGCTGAGTGAATGACAACTAACCAACCAGCAAACTTGTGGAGGCTTAGTGCCTCCTTTCTCTAGGGCACCTGGATGAATACACAAAAACAAACTATGTCATTATAAATTAGTAAGCCTGGTGAAGGCAGTAACCCTACAATAAACAAAGCTCTTTTGAGAAAGCTCTGCTCAGGAAATAACTCCACATTCATAAGTCCAAATACGTATCATAAGTAGTATGGATGAAAATTAGGAAACATTTTTCTGGTCCGGAATAGGAGCCAGCAAACTATGACCCACAGGGCAAAATCCAGCTGCCACCGATGCTTATAAATAAAGTTTTACTGGCATACAGTCAACACCCATTTGTGTCCACTCTGTCTGTGGCTGCTTTCACACTGCAAGGGCAGAGCTGGGTATTTTCAGCTGAAACGTTATGGTTCACAAATCAGAAATACTCTCTGGTTCTTCAGAGAACAAGTTTGTCAACCCTTTCCCTAGAAATATAAAAGGATGTATACAAACAAAACATAATGTGATTATCTTTAGGTAGTGGAATTATACATGACTATTTCCTTTTTTTTTTTTCCCTTATATTAACCAGCCTTTGAGCTGTATGTTTATAGGAGCATGTGAGATAGGGTATGTGGCAGAATGGCTGTAATCAGGAAGGGTTACAGGAATTATCAAGGAGCTAGTAAGACCAACCCCCAAAGGACTTATGGCTTAGAACCAGCAGAAGATCAGCTCAATCCAACACAGAGACTAATTTCGCCTTATGGCGACCCCAGAATTCTTTCCTGTGTGAAGCCAAGAACCCACAGTGGGTCTCACACCTTCAGGTCCACAGACCCCTGGAATGCCTGTATCACATGTGTGTTTAAATCATAAACTTAAGAAGAAAAAAAGAAACAGTCTGCCTCAATGTAGGCACTAGTGCTGAGCCGCCTGGCTCCCCAAGGTGATGGTACCTTGTTTCCAATGGCTTTTTTGGGCGGGAAGTTGTAGGCTTTCACTTGAGGGTATTTGTTCTGTAACTTGTGGTGCAAACTCCTGAACTCTGTGTACCGTCGATAAACATTCCATTCATCATCTTTAATCCGGATGTAGACCTGTCAAAAAAGGGAAAGAGAAGGAAAATGGAGACTTCTCGTAATACTTCATTATACAGGGGTGGGAGTTTGGCAATGCTTCACTCATGAAAACCAGTTCTTTGAGAGGAGAGGTCACACTGTCTGCCCTGCAACCGGATGCCCAGTATCTGGCACAGAGTAGGAACTCAGTACCACTGAGTGAACAAATGGGTACATGAACAATGAGTCAGGCAGGCTAAGAAACAACATCTGTACATAATTTCCCCAATAAATCTTAGCTATGCATTAGTCATATTTTTGTGCACAGGCATATGGCAGCAGAGACAAGTTGCTGGTGAGAATCTATTCCCCCTCTCTGGCTATGAGTGTTCTCATCCATAAAATGGAGCTAATAGCACCTCTTCCCAAGGTGGTGTGGACAGCATTCGGGTGCAGAAGAAGTTACGCAGTTATGCCTGGGAGCATGCAGACCACCATACGGAGGAGGTGGAACTCAATTTGCGAAAGGAGGGAGGGGCCAGAGATCATACCAACTTGATGGAAGGCCCTGTCCAGATGGGATAAACACAACGGGGCATAAAACATATTTATTTTAATCAAGTTGTAGCTCCCAAGAGAACACTCTGGGGGTACAAAATGTGAGAGCTGTTTCATCAGCTTTTTACAGGCCCTAACACCTTCCAAGGACACACAGAAACTACACTGCAAGGAAAACAGACAAGTGGAAATGAGATCAATGCACTGTAAAAATTACACGAGTTAAGGACAGCATAGAGAGTGAAGTCCTGATGATAAATGGCTAGTGTAATCTGCAATCTGTAAATGTCAGTACACATCTTAAAACCTCTTTAACCATAAAAATAAACATTTCAATCTGACGGTAAGTTCTGCCTCTGCATGAAGACCGGCCAGCATCCCCAATGCAGATGTCATGTATTTGAACTTTGGTTAGGTGACCCCCAGGTCTCACAATATTTGAACCAGACAAAGAAAGGAAGACTTAAATAATGACAGTTAATGAACAGAAGTTTCCAGTGGAATGAGATGGAGAAACAGAGGTCTACTGAGTTTATTAGACGTCTCCAACCTAAGAGAGACAGTAAATATACTGGATGACAGATATCAAGTGACCTTAACTGACCTGAAAGGTGAGTCTAATCCAACGTAATGAAATTCAGAAAATTCAATGGCAGGACCTGCCATAAAATTTAAAAAACCAACACCGTAAGTATAGGATGGGGACATACAACCCAGCAGTAGCCTGTAGGACAAAGACTTACAGGTCTTAGTAAGGTCAAGCTAAGTGAATAGTGTGGGAGGGCCATTAAAAAAGTCCATGTAATCTTCAGACCTCATTTCAAAGTAAATGGTAAGTTCTAGAATAAAGAAGTTGGAAGTCTTGCTCTATCCTACATTGACCAGACCAACTTAGTTAGGTTTTGGTGGCCACCTGCTAAAAAATAACTAAAATATGTTCAGAAAGGCCCACGATTGCTTGTCGCTCAAAGTGTGGTCTGTGGATCAGCAGCATCATCACCGCATGGGAGGATGTTAACAATGCAGTAGCTCAGGTTCCACCTCAGATGCATTGACGCAGAATCTGCATTTTAATAAGGACCCCAAGTGGTTCATACACACTTTCAAGTTTGAGAAGCACTAGGCTCTACGAGATGATTTACACCCAAATTATCAGACTAAAGATAAAAGACTTTGGAGGATGATAACCTGAGCCTCAGGATAGAGGGAAGAGAGATCTCCAAATTCCTGGAATAAAGAGGAAAGACCAAGGTAACATGTTCCAGTGATTCCAGGAAGCAGACTTCCAGCAGGTAGAAATTAGAGAAAAACAAATTTCAGTACAGAAGGACATTCTAGCAGCCCAAGCTGCCCAAAGAGGAAAAAGTGTGTCTCAAAAGGTTTCTTGGCACTGGGTGTCCAAGCAGTGCTATGATGACTGGACTGTGACCACAGTTCTGCAAGTCTCTGATTTACGGGGAAGTGGGCATTAGATCCCAAAAGCATCTGGAATGGCCTGGTAGTTATGGAGAACTGGGCCTTTAGGCTCAGATCTCTATAGACTGAGATATCATTAATCAGTGAGCAAATAACCCAAGCAGAGCTCCGGGCACTTCATTAGGGCCCATTTGGGGCATTCTTTGAATGCTCCTGAGCAACAGCAAGTGCTAGTTGCCCACCCAGTATCCATTTTCCCCCAATATTTCTGGGGTATCAACGTATTCAGGAAAAAAGTTAAACTATATTTTTCTTTCTCCACAGATAAGAGTGGCTAATGAGATGTAAACAAAAATTATTGTTTGGGGCTTCTAAGAAAATTCTTAGAGGAAATATGACTCAGCCAATAAATGCCTTTTTCTTTCACTCTTCTTCTTGCCTTTTTCTTTCCTTCACAAACAGATGTGATGACTGGAGCTCAGGAGGTCATTTTCTGATCGTGAGGTGGTCGTGAGAGTGGAAGGAAAAAGATGGAAGGACCTTGGATCTCTGATAACATTTTGACGTCAACACATCAGTTACTAGAGAAGTATTTATCTCAATTAAAGGAAAATATTTATCTCTAATTTATTCAAACCAATGTTTTAAGGGACTTTGTAGTAGTGGCTGAATGCAATTCTAATCTGATATACCCTGAATGACTGTATCTGCTAGTATATTATTATACAAGTCCAAACACCCACCTCCCCTCACAGAGTGGCAAGTTCAATCGCTTGTCTGATTATGCACAAGACTAATTGTCTAGATTAGGAGAGGCAAACTATAACCTGTGGGCCAAATCCTGCCACATGCATTTTTTTTTTTTACCTATTGCTTAAATAGCTGCTTTTGCATACAATGGCAGAGCTGAGTCGTAACAACAACCATATATCCTACAAAGCTGAAAATGTTTACTTTCTGGCTCTCTCTCTCTCTCCATACACAAATATACATATATATGTATATATTTTCATATATACAAACAAAACTTTTTATATAAATGTGTATATGTATATGCATATATGCATATCAACTTTTATACACACACACACACACACACACACACACACACACACACACGCAAACTTTGCTGACCCCTGTTCTAGATATGTGAAAAGTCTTCATTATTGTCATTTTTTTCCACCAATATATCCAAGATCCAGAGTGCAGAAGGGCAGTGTTTTCCAGATAGTAGCAGCCCCTGGGTGGCTGTATTAACCATCTGAGACCCAGGAATCCATAGTGTTCCAAAGCTTCCCTGCTGATTCTAAGGAGTTGCTGTTGTGGTCTGAGTGTCTGTGCACCACCACCCCATGGCCCCCCAGCCCGCACCAATTCATGTGTTGAAATCCTAACCCCCAAAGCAAAGGTATTAAGGGGTAGGGTCTGTGGGAGTGGTTAGGTCATGAAGGTGGAGCTCTCATGAATATTAGCACCGTTACAAAAGAGACCCAGAGAGTTGCCTCATCACTTCTGCCATGTGAGAGGGTGGCTGTCCATGAACTAGGAAGCAGGTTTTCACCAGACACCAAATCTCTCGCACCTTGATCTTGGACTTCCCAGTCTCCAGAAGTGTGGGCAATAAATGTGTGTTGTTTAAGACACCCTGTCTACAGCAGTTTGTTATAGCAACCCAAATGGGCTAATACACAGGCATTTGGGGGAACCCCTAACACAGATTTAGGTGTGTCAGGCAGATGGACTATTCCTCCTCGCTGGCTGTGCGTTTCCTCATCTGTAAAATGGAGCTGACTAACAGCACCTCCCCTCAGGGTGGTATGGACAGCATTCAGGTACAGAAGCAACAACGCAGCTGTGCCTGGGACCACGCAGACCACCATATGGAGGAGGCGGAACTCAATTTGGAGAAGGAGGGAGGGATCAAAGACCAACCCAACTGGATGGAAGATCATGTCTAGATGTGATGTGCACAACTGGGACACAAAACATCTTTATTTTAATCAGGTTGTAACTCTGCAGGTAAAAAATGCGAGAACTATTTCATCAACTTTTTATAGGCCCCAACCTCTCCCAGGGACACACAGCAACTACACTGCAAGGGAAAACAGACAAGAGGGAGAGAGATCAATGCATTTTTAGAAATTACATGAGTTAAGAACAGCTCAGAGAATAAAATCTCCACTGAAATGGCCATTGCAACCTGCAACCAGCGAATGTCAATACATACTTTAAAAATCTCAAAAATAATGATAAAAATAATCACCTCTAATGTGTGTGATGCATTCTGAGTCTACATTTTTCATAACACATTCTGTGAAAGCACTGAGTCTCCTCCTGCTTATTTGATGGCCCCCTTGGCCTTCCATGTGGGCAAGTCCTCTTTGGCCCAACCCTTAAAGGCAGAGGCCTCCCCCGGGGCCCTCCTCTCCTGTTCACAAGCATCCACTCTCAGGCCTGCACATTTTAGTTTTACATCAATGACCCCCACATCTATATAGCTCTAGTCTGGACCTCTAACATGAACTCCAGACAGAGAGCTGATAAAACTCATTGTGTCAACATCTGAACCCATTATCTGCACTGCAAACCTGCCCCTCCTTCTCCTGGGACATCACTCTCTCACGGTGAATGGACCACTGAGCCTGAGCCAAAAATCTGGGCATGAAGTTTGACCACTTTTGTTCTTCACCCCCTCCCACAGATCTAAGTACTGAATAGTAGGGCCTGTCATCCCCACTCTCAAAACCCACCTCCAGAGCTGTACACCCCTCTGCTGGGACTACTCTAACAGGCCTCTCCTTGGCCCTCTAGTCAGCCATATTGCCCCATTCAATCATGGTCATCTCCCTTTTTGAAATTCCTTCACTGACTGCCCATGAAGGATGCCAAATGGGCTCTGGAGAAGAGATGTAGGCAGCAGCCTTGATGGGCTCGGAACGCTCCTGCGGCACCACAACCATCTTCCTTCAGGCTCTGCCCCTCACTTTGGCAAATCAGCAGAGTGCCAATTTCCCTGTGTATTTTGTAAAATTCTTTAATTTCTTAAATTCTTAAAAGTTTCTTTA